CTTCACCTGGATGCAGATAAGGGGCCTTCACAAGGCCAGGCATGCAGTGGACATGCAGACCCCATGCAGGCCCCGCAAGGGGATTGGTTAAAGGGTCAGGCAGACCCTGAGAGGGGATTGGATAAGGGAACAATGGGGGCGAGATTAAGTGGAAAAACAGAGGAAAAGCAGGAATGTGTGTGTGTTGCTGCCTGCCTGCATGTAGGAACGGACACCCAGTTACTTTGCTGAATAAAGAAAACTGTTTGCATCTCAGCTTTACTGAACCTCATTGGCACTTGGTTTAGTGAGCCTGTAAGTCACCTGGCTAGCAGGGACACCAACAGTGTGACACCCGCTTGCACATGATTTATTGAGCTTTTCGACCCCCGGTAGGCCAAACCATAGATAAATCCAAGAAAAGAAAAGTTTCAGAAGAAAACAGAATGTTTAATGGTTCGTGGGCAGATTCATTTGCTTTCACTGCTGATGAGACTTCTTTACCAGTGTGCTTAATATGTGGTGAGAAATTGGCAAACAACAAAAAGTCAAATGTTGCAAGACATTTCCAGAATGTCTTTGCTTTGCTTTGCTGAAAGAGGCTTTGCTGAAAAATATCCGGATGGAGATGAGAGAAAAAAAGCCATTTTGGAACTGATACAGAAGGTTGATCTGAGCAAAAATTACAATTTAAGTTCGGCTTTTTATTTCATAAATACGAGAAGGACTCAAATAGACATTGAGTATTTTATTTGAAAGTAACCTTCAACCCAGCATCTTTTTTTTGGAGTTCAAAATGTTTTTGTTGTATGCAGAAATAAAAATTTGTTTTCTCTGTAGCAGTTCATTGATTTCATAAATGCAACACACTATAGTTTTTTTTATACATAGCATAAAAGTTAAAAACGATATATGCAGTGTTATCTTTATTTTAGATGTCAAAAGGGTTTTGTGGCTCCTGGTGTTTTCTTTTCTGTGGGAAATGGGTCCAAATGGCTCTTGGAATATTTAAGGTTGCTGACCCCTTTCATTGTATCTTTGACTTCCCAGATGCAGTTAGATTGCACCTGCAAAACTGGGTTGCAGAGAGGGGTTGATGAAAGCTTTATACTCTCCAAGGCAAGAGTCTGCCCTTCCGTAGAGAGGCTTATCTCATATCTGGGTTAAGTTCATAGTGAAAACAGAAAGTGTATGTTTCTGTTCTTTCCCTGATGTTGGAAATGAATCTATTAAGCCCAGTATTTTGCCATCGGTTGGCAGAGGTGTGAAGCACTGATATGTGGTGAATCATTGATAGCAGTTTTCACAATGTACCTTTCTAGACTTATAAAATTAACACAGTGAAGTTTAAGCTCTTATACCCTGTGTTATTTAAATCTGAAAAAGAAGGAAGATTTTGGAACATGCTTCTGTTGCCCATCTTAATATTAACACTGTAGGTCTCCTTCATAACTTTTAGATGTTCATTTTTGACCTTCTGCCCTTTCTTATCTGAGTCCTGCACTTGGGTGGCACTCTAGCACCGCAGCATTTAGCTTTGCCTGAGAATTCAGGACTTTAATATTTCATATACTTCTTATAAGAGACTTTATAAAGCTTTTAGTGGGAGCAATATATTTTATTTCACTGTCTGTTTAAAATAATGTGTAGTTCTGTAGAAATACAAATGTTTCTTGCTAGTTAGATGCAGAAGTAATTGGGCCAAAAGGTACTCATGTCATTTTGTTTGCAATAATGCAAGGAATGATATAAGAATTAAAGCAACAACCCTGTTTTCCTTGCATTCATGTTTGTGATCTGATTCTATACTGGAGTGAGGAAGCTGATAGATATTGATTCTCATTTTCTCCTACTGTTCCTTTAGCCTTAAATCAAAGTAAAAAGAAGCAGTATTACACTACTCAGCATGCTGCCTGGTGAATCACGAATAAATTCTGATGACATGGACATGGAGATCAGTAATTCTTCCCTTTCTAAAAATGTGTGACCCAGCTCTTGGTGGCTTATGAAGGTGGGGAATCCTAGAGCCAGTCTCCTTGAGAGGATTGGTCACATGCCCAGAGGAGACTTTCTTTTTCTTCTTTTGCCAAACAATTCTTGACAGACAAAAAGTGAGCCTTATCTTCTGGGAAATTTGTGTATGTGCTGAGTGATGGGGTTAGGGATTTAGGGGGTTGTGACAGAGTTTTCTTCCCAAGCAGTCTGCTTGAGGGATTAGTTTCGATATTGCATTGGGCAATATTTATACAACTTGTCATAAAATCTTGCTGATCTGACTCTGATCTCTTTGACTTCTCTAGCATCCTGCTGTAGCTACTTGCTTCTACCAAATAGAACTGCTCTCTTAGCACCAATCCCACTGGATCTTGCGTCTGACAAAATGTTTTTGCTGGACTAGCAGGTGCTGAACTGGAAATCAGGACATTTTCAGTTGATTGCTTGACTTCATTGACAAAATTCCTCTTTTCTGTGCTCACCATGGAGGGTGTGTTTGTTTGTTTGCATTGCCTCTAAGAGCTATCCAGTTTTTCATCCAACTTTTTTCTGGGGGGGAGAGAGGGGACCCAGTTCAAACTTAGATTTCAGATTCTTTCCCACTAACATAACATGATTTCATCCCATAGGTGTTTTCTTCTATTGATTCCCTTTATCTTCCTCACATTTCTGATTGCCTGATTTCTATTTATGTCCAGACATGACAGTATGATGTGTGGGTAGGGGTGAGGGGAAATATACTTTACCCTACATGTATTTTGGGTTTCTACCTCTTACTAGCACTGGCTCCAACTGTTGCTTAGATGAATTACCCTGATTACCATGTTGCTTTATTCCCTCTTCCCGCTTGTCAGCAACCTGTCTATGTACAAGGAACTCTGGAACTGGTAATTATTGAGAGAGAGTTGCTTGGTCTCTCTCTTGGTCTTAGTTTAATAGCAGCAATGCATTTGTCTGTTCTGGGAAAGTGCATAGGTGAGAAACTTAGCAGTTAGATCTTTGCTGCTTCTGTTCTTGCACTGCTTGTGCTTTGACTGCAGATCTGTCAAGATCTATGCAAAGTGTACACAGATAAAGGGATTCAAAGAAGAACTATGTATAACACACCATTGTAATCCAATTTAGAGATAATCAGAAATCACTGTGGTTAGTCTGTGTCAGACCAGAAGAGACTGCAGCTGTTGGAAGGCATTCTGTTCCAGATGCTGCTTGAACCATTGCTGACAGAAAGGGATAAATAAGTACCCTCAAGATGCAAAGCTGATCCTTCAAGGAGATTGCAACCCCATTTGAAAAAGGCTGAAAACCTATACAGAGACCCACCCACAGCATCTCTTTCTCTTTGGGTTAAGGTTTAGTTTATTGAATATAAGAACACAAGCGTTCTGCTGGATCCCACCAGAGGTCTATCTAGTCTTGCCTTCCGTTCATACAGTGGCCAACAAGCTCTCCACAGAAACCCATAAGCAGAGTATGAAAGCAACAGCATTTTCCTGCTTGTGTTCCCTGGCAACTAGTATATGCAGGCTTACTGTCTCTAATACTGGAGTTAGCATATAGCTGTCAGGTCTAGTAGCCAGGCTAGTCTTCTTCAGGAGTTTGTCCAAGCCCCTTTTATACCAGTCCAAACTGGTGGCTATCGCTGCAGAGCACGGAAGTGGATTTCATAGTTTAACTATGTGCTGTGTGAAAAAGTCCATCTTTTCTTTTTTGTCCTGAGTCTTCGATCAATCAGCTTCATAGGGTGATCCAGGCATTTAATATGGGAGAGGGAGAGCAATGTCTTTCTACTTCAGCAAAGTAGAACTACTTTTAATAAAATAAATACTTCCTTCACAGCATGCATACATTCGTTCACCTGTCTCCCCTTATTCAGTGTTTTTCTAAACCAAACAGTCCCAGTTGTTGTTACCTTTTCTCATAGGAGAGTTGCTGCAGCCCCATGTTTGTTTGTTTGTTTAAAGTTTTCATAGACATTTCTGTAGCAAATGTTCTCAGAATGGTTCATAGCAAAGCAGAACTTGTTTTTCTCTGTACCTTTTCAAATTCCACAGTATCCTTTTTTTAGATGTGGAACCAGATTTGTACACAGTATTTAAGTGCCGTCACAACTTTGTATAAAGTTAGTATGATACTGGCAGTTTTATTCTCTTATTCTTTGCTAATTATGACTAATATGGTGTTTGCCTTTGTATAATAACTGCACACTGGGTTGACATTTTAATCAACCCCCAAGATTTCTTCCTTGGTTAGTCATCACTAGCTCAGATCTCATCAGCTTGTACTTGAAGTTGGAACTTTTTGCCTCAAGATTTATTACTTTATGCTTGCTTACATTGAACCACAAGTGCTAGACAGCTTTAGCTATTGGGCAGTAGCAAAATTAAATAAATATATTTTGATGCCTGTTCTCCCAGTGTAGAGAGATCTTTTTAGAATTGCTCATAATCCCTTTTTCTTTAATTATTCTAAATAATTAGCTTTCGACAGCAAACATGGCTATTTCACCACTCACTCCTAATTCCAGATCATTTTGAATAAGTTGAAAAGCGTTGATTCCAATGAAGGTCCCTGTTTATATCACCCCATTGGGAGAAATTACTGCTTAGTCCTTCTCTGTTTTCTGAGCTTTAATTTTTTGTTAATTTCCAGTAAACTAGTGAATCAACTGGGCCTTGGTCAGTTGCATATCACATGCATGTTCATCCAAAACAACCTCTTCAAAAACAAATGAACGAACAAAAAGAACAAGACATTTGGGCAAACTTTCCTTGCTCTTTTATTTTCCAGACACAGCTCTCTGATAGAAATACATTTCTTCAGGGTTAGTCTGTAGCGGATTCTTCATTCTTTTCCTGAATATTCCAGTGTCAATTGCTTTTATCACTGGTATTAGTTTTCCTTTTACTGTGTGTTTAAAACAAAGCACTATGGCCCATATGTCTTCTAAGCACTGCCATGATAAATGTGTTAAAGAACGCTATAGATGATATAGTGATTCCATGTGCATATTTTCTTCATTTTAGGACAGGAAGCTGACCAAAGTAGAGCAGCAGAGGTTTAAAGAGGAGGCTGAGATGCTCAAGGGCCTGCAGCATCCTAACATTGTCCGATTTTATGATTCCTGGGAATCAACAGTTAAAGGAAAGAAGTGCATTGTATTGGTAACTGAGCTGATGACATCTGGAACACTGAAGACGTATGTATCTTTTGACCATGTAGGGTTTGATTGTACTTGCACCTTTCTTTCACACGTTTCGTGTACTGTTTTTCAATGTGCATTCATATTTGCTAGCATTGGTCATGTTGTGTTTCAGCTACTCTCTGTGCTATGGTTGTATTGTTGGTTAGCCACCTCCTGATATTCAGGTACATACATTAGACTTGATGCCACAATCATATTGCAGCACGTGAGGGATATATGCTGATATCTTAACATGTGTCTTATGGTGGCTTCAATGTCTTACAGCATTGAATTTGGAAATGAGGCACTGAGCTGCATGCCTACAAAGCTGTAAGACCTATTGGGTGGTTTTGGATATATCACAATTTTAAGCCTGCCTTATATGACAATAAATGATAAAAGTTAAATTTAAATGAGGCATGTTAATTCTTGTAGAAATTATAAGCTACATAGTTAGCATTGGTTTGTGGAATCTGTGGGGACAAAAAAGCATGCTTTATTGTGAAGTCCCTTGAACCAGTGTTTCATGGAACAACTGAAAATCAGCTAAATTACAAAAATGCTGTGATTAAATGCTTCGAGGATTACTGATTTCATGATGACAGATCCCATTCATTATATAGATGGATTACAGTCTGGAAGGGAAGAAAATGTGTTTGTTCTGGAGCTGTGAATGTACCATTAACTAAGTAGGGTTTCTATTTTGCTCTTCCCAACCTGATATCCTCCAGGTGTGTTGGGCTACAGCCTGCATCATCCCAGGATGTAGACTAGGGATTGTGAGAGTTGTAGTCCTATACAACTGCAGTTCACCCACTTGGGAAAGTCTTTTTCATGTGAAGGCATATTATAGAATACATAGTCTAACTAGAAAAATGGATTGTATGTTGGAGATTAGATACCTGCTGCATAATTTTTCTCTGGTCCCTGTTGATAAAAAGTTGGGTGCATTGTTTCCATAACATAGAAATCAGTAGTTAATAGGGAATGGACTAGACAGTTATTTTTGACATGCTTTTCCAAGATCAGGTTTGCAGTGACTCTTCTGATGAGGACTGTGAAGACTGGGAGGTGGGGAGTGGAATCAAGAGGACAGAGGAGGGTAAGGAAGTCTCAAAGCTGCTGCCTTCAGATTCTCAGGCAGACCGTGGAAACAGACAGTGTTTGGAAGATAAGGGAGGGGACAGAGGAGAAGAGGAAGACAAGCCCATATGGGGTTAGACTGGGTAGTCTGTCTAACTCCATGGTGTGTTGTCAGGTTAGACAGACTATCCAGTTAGAGGGCTCGTGTAGGTCTTAGAAGTTAGCTCTTCTCCAGAGGGGACTACCCAGAGGCATTGAGTCCAGCATTGCTGGACAGGAGAGACTTTGAAAGTAGTTTCTAGTTTGGGTTCAACTAATCACTTTGTTTCTGTACAGCAACTAATATTTCAGTTGCTGTAGTTTATTAGCTTTGAATAGGTAATAAAGAGCTATTTTACAAAGCGACTGTCTTTTGTTTTAGAAGGTTGAAACAAATAAAGGGATACCTAGCTCTCAACAACAATAACCTAGGCAGGAAAGGAAATTAAACAGGTCAAATAACTGCATTTTTAACATTTGATTCACATAAATATGCTATTACTTGAATTTATACAATGTTTGTTAGAGGGACCTTGTGAAACTGACTATGGGAAGATCACTATTAGCAAGTTTTGCTATCTTGTGAAAATGTCTACTGGGCTTGGGTAAGTTTTATATGAAAAGGATAAATTGATGGCCTGTTGAGTTCTAAGAAAGCTCGAATGGATTGGGATGTAATGTGGAATGGATTATTAAACAGACCAGCATAACTATTAGTTTAGCGACATAAAAAGGATACTATTTTCATTTGTATTACTAGGATTTAGACTCTCCTAGAAATGTATACACATTTGTAACTCCATAGCTTGTTCTTATGTATTGGTTCTCTGCATTGTTACAGATTTTTTTTTTTTTGCATTAAAATGTTTATTTTCCTTTTTTCAATCATAGCATACAAGATTTAAAAAAAACTAATAGAAAAAGAAGTAAAAGTCAAACAAAAAATGGAGCTATTTAATTTTACATTAAAGGCAAAAAATGCAACTGATGTTTAGACAGTGAACAAAATAACAGCTTTCATATAGGAATCCCTGCTACCAAACACTTGGGAGAACATAGACATTTTTAATTGGTACTGAAAATATAATGAAGTGGGCCTCTGTCAAATAAAGCTGGAGAAGGAGTTCCAAAGTCTAGATGCCATAGTAGAGTAGCCATCTACCTAACTTCTAACGGACTGGTGGTACCTGCAACCAGGCATCTGTAGATTATTTTCATGTACAGGCAAGTTGTGTGGGAGAAGGGAAAGATCTTTGAATAATTTAAAGGTTAAAACTAGTACTTAGATTCTGCTTGGAAACAACCAAAGTATTGGACTAATATGATAAAAATCAGTGAGACCCAGTTAATAATTTGTGAGCCATATTTTGAAACAGCTGATTTTTTTTTGTCTTCAGATGTAATCGAATTGCACGTGATTTGTTATAGATTAACTTGTAATTTGGGGTTCCTTTTCTTTTGATACACTAACCCCATGGCTTTCAATCCTTCTTCCCCTGATTAACCCTTCTAACATGTCTTGCTATTCTGAAGAATCCCAAACTCCTCTCCTTGACCCCACTCAAAGGAAAAATAATTCTAACAAGGAGTCATTTATTTAATGCTCCCACATTTGTGTCTCCCACATCTAAATAGCTCAAGGGGATATATGGAATTCAGGATAAGGCTGCTGAATTTCTTTGCACTCACTCTGCTCCAAACTCTATTGTTAGGATTAGGGTTAGGATTACCTTGAGGCAGCTCAAGGTAAATAAAGCAGACTCTATATTTCTCCTGTAGGCTGTATTCCTTGGCAACCCTGAAAATCAAGGTATCTGATTACCTGACAGTTGTGTTGGGATCTCAGGTCTTTGTCTGAGGGAAAGTTGGCTGCCTCTTTGACCACCTTCACAAAGATGGAAAAATTTTGCTCAGGTGTTTCAGGGTGAGGCTGTGTAGTTAGCAAGACAACAGATCAACATCGCTCAGCATCTACTGAACTTCAGTGTTAGGGATCTCATTGGTGTCTGTTGGAACTATCACAGGAGGTTTAGTCTCAAACTGAGTACCTTTTGATGGCTAATTTTCAATTCCAAGACTGACAGTACTATGGATTTAGTTCAGAAGACATAGAACACAGCACTGAAGATTCACCAACTGGTATCCTCCTCCTGTGATACAGTTTCACTACCAGCAGTCAGGTTTGTGGCAGGCATCTTAACAACATGGTCTAGTACTGAGAAACCAGTACTGTTTGTCCAAATTGTAGGTGTTTTCATTGGAAGGGCCATGGGAACAAGAAGCATCATCTTTGACTCCCTGCCTCCATCTTTCTTTGTCCTTTTCTCTGCCTCCTGTCTTTGGAACTCATCTGTCATCTTTTCTGCCAGCCTAGACCAACATCACATTGGATTCTGGGATCCTCATTACTGTCCAGAGAGGCAACAGAATTGAGTTGGGCACCTTCCCTTCACTTGGGACCTTTTGAACAACAGCTCCATTCCAGGACATTCAAGCCAAAAGGCAACAGGTGCCATTGCACCTGCCCTATTTTGTCATGTCGTGTCTGTTACCACTCCTGGCACTTCATCGTACTGAAGAGTGATGGAAGGCTTTGTTCAGTCTTAAATCTCTGAGACATCAATACCTACATTGTGCCCAGGAATTTGTTTCCCACTTGTCAGTCCTTCCACTGTTGCTTAAGACTGACCTGAGAGATGCCTGCTTTTACATCAGTGCTTCCTTTGCTTTGTGATTTACATGAATAAATTGTGCTTCCTCTAGAGAGTGGGCCCAGTTCTCTCAGGTTATAGTCTCCCCAGATAGATTCTTCAGATTCAGAGGAGGAGGCTCTGAAGTGCAGAATGAAGGGTGAAGGCCAGGTTCCAAAGTGAAGATATTCAGAGTACAAGAACTACCCTGCTTTGGAAAAATTGGAAGACATTTCAGAACATGGTGGGTAGGGAATAAGGTGGAATTCCTTATTCCTCTGTTGTAAAGAGACAACAGGTGAAATGAGCTGACCAATTAAGAATTGTCCAGCAAGAGACACCCCAAGGACAAAATTAGAATTTTTCTGAAAGGGAGCAAAGGAGGGAGAGTTTCAGTGATTCAACTGAATTCAACTCTTCACATGGGCAGACACTATTCCCTCATCCCAGAAAGAGTGAATCTGTGCTCAAAGAAAGTATGCTGGGAAGAAAAAAAATGGAGGCGAGACCTGCTCATAACAGTTCCCTTCAGCTGTTGCCCTGAATGATCTACATCAACATGGAGAAGTCCCATCTGCAGCTGGTGCAAAATCTCCAGCTCATCGGAACTATCCTCAACTGCTGGCCCAACTGGATATTCCCTCTTAAAGATCCAGCCCACTGCTTAGCACTCTTGACAGCTGAGTTATTCATTCAGAGGGCTGCTACAGTGTTCTCAGATGCATCCTGAGTCTGATAGCTGTGCCAGTGTCCATTGTGCAGTATTCTTGCATATATGAACTGTGCACATCTGGCTTCTCTGCTAGTTTAATACTGAGCAAGACAGTTCCCATACCCGACTTCAACTCACTTTGTGGGCAAGGACTTTGTTACAGTGGTGGACAGTAGAAGAGCACCTTATGTAATGTGTGCCCTTCTTTCAGCCTTTTCCATTCCACATAGTGGGAACTCATTGCAAAGGGGGTTCCTGTTACAGGATTGTAGGCCATGCAAGAAACCAACCAATTGCATAAACCTGCAGAAATTGATGTTGGTTGACAAAGTATTCAAGGTGTTTGACTTGGACCTGGTGGGCAGACAATATCACAGGCATAATTTGTAATCCATGTGATCAGTATGGCCAGTGTATTTGCTGACTGGCTCAGCCAGATGTTACTGATCTCCCATGAGTGGGAGGTGTACATGAAGATCCTGATAAATCTCTTTTAGTGGCAGGACACACTGGAGGTCAGTCTGTTTGCATACAATACTGTCTGCCCAGTGCTTTGCAGCTGAGCAGGTCTGGACTTAGAAACATAGAAACAGAGTGAGTCAGAAGGGGCCTCCCGGCCCATCTAGTCTGGCTTCCGGCACCAGCCGGCTCCACGCACGACATGCCCACCATGTGCACGTCCTATCCTTGAACACCCGCACCGATGGGGCCTCAACGACCTCTTGTGGAAGCCCATTCCACACCCTTGGGGTCCTAACTGCCAGGAAGTGTTTCCTGGCATCCAAATGGAACCTTGACTCCCTGAGCTTTGCTCCATTGGAGTGTGTCCTGGCTTCCTCTGCAAGGGAGAACAGGTCTCTACCCATCTCCATGTGACATCCCCTCACATACCTGTATGTTGCCAACATATCCCCTCTGAATCTCCTCTTCTCCAGGCTGAAGAGACCCAGTTCCCTCAGTCTTGCCTCATACCCCATCCCCTGCAAACCAGCCACCAACCTTGTGCCCTACGCTGCACTGACTCTAATGTGGCTATATCCTTTCTGTAATGAGGGGCCCAAAACTGAGCAAAATACTCCAGTTGCGGGCGCACCAGAGTCGTATAGAGTGGTCAAAGGGAATGTCTTTGTGTTTGCATGAACTGTGGCATTGCTTTACATCTTTATCCCCTTTCCACTCTTCACCAAGGTCCTGATCAAGATAGGAATGGATAGCACATAGTGCATCCTGATAACATTTGGTGACTTCAGCAACTGTGATACGCTCTGCTTCTGTGCCCAACAAAGGACAATTAGTTTCAGTTTCCATCATTGTTGAAGCTTCTCACTCAGACTTTCAAACACTCCTCATGAAGCCATGGAGATTCTAATCAGTACTGATACCTGTCCTGATCCAGAGCAGCCTTGATGCTACTTGAGTAATGCTACAAGCATTAAGTCCGAGATGGTCCTGTGGCTGCTATTTCATCCTTTGTTGCTTTTGACCCTGCTAGGAGCTACTTGCATTGGATTCTTCAGTTCCTGTTGTTACCATTTGACAAAAATCTACAACTTTCTTCCCTTGTGTCTATTGGCTGCTGTTTCTGCTTCTCATCTTCCCATTGAAGCCTTTGCTGACTTCTCATATCCAAAGGGGAAGCGGTTTCTCTAAGGATTCTAGAACCTAGTTCCTCCAGTTTGACCAAAGGTACCAAGTTGGAACCTCTTATTTTTCCTGAAAGTGCAGTCTTCTAAGCTGATGAAACTAATGGCAATAGTAGATTCTGACTCCTTGGAAAGTGATGTTTTGGGCGAGGCATTCTGGCAACTATGTGCAGTGTGCATGGATTCTTCAGACCTCATTTTCACAGAAACAGGGTGGTTCTTTACCTTGGCACCAACTTCCTTTCCATAGTGGTGTCAGGTTTTCATCTCAACCAGTACATCATCCTGCTAGTGCTATTCCACTTGACTCTCTGGACATTTAACAGATCAAGGACAGAGTCAATCAAATAGTCACTTTATCTGTTTATCTGTTATGATGGCAAGTGTAAGTGGTATTAACACAACACTTTTCTTCTGTTAAGACAATTGAGCTAGTACATGTAGTGACTGGTCTTGAACTGTGTTTCTCAGTGTGAGCTCACTCATGTGGTAGCAGTGTTGGTTGTATTCAACAATGAGGTCACAAGCCCTGATTTGTTCCATGTTTTAACCTGATTGAGGCTGTTTACATTTATTTGGCACTATATTTTGGCCTTTGGTTACACAGTCTTCTCTTCTATGCATCAGTGATGCATAGAGGCCACAAAGAAGGACAGCTTGCTTACCTGTAACTGTGATACTTTGAGTGATCATTTGTACATTCATGCAACCAACTTTCCATCCCCTCATTGCTATCATCCTTGAGTTTGTTGTGGGTACTGCAGACCAATCTTGGTTCCAAGGCTACAATATGGGGAACTGAGGGAATATTCAGGAACCTGTTAAGGACATGTACGCTGTGGGACAGTGGGAGAGGGTTCTGAGCAAAATTGCTCAGCTATAGAAGTTTCTCAGAATGGAACATTGTGCAGGCACAGAGCCCATATATGTGAATACACAGGTGATTGTTTGAGAAACTACAGTTACAGGTAAGCAGTCTGTCCTGCATGACTGAAAAACACTGTTGTCATCTAATATGCCTGGATGAACTTGATGCATAAAAGCTTTTTGGCTATTTCTTCTTTTGTTATTCTCTTCATAGGTACTTAAAACGTTTCAAAGTCATGAAGCCAAAGGTCTTAAGGAGTTGGTGTCGACAGATCTTAAAAGGGCTGCATTTCCTGCACACAAGGACCCCTCCTATCATCCACCGTGATTTGAAATGTGACAACATCTTCATTACAGGACCCACTGGTTCAGTGAAGATTGGCGACCTGGGATTGGCCACCTTAATGCGCACATCATTTGCTAAAAGCGTCATTGGTGAATATAGCATGTTCTTTTGTAAAAACTGGAATCTGCAGGTGCATCCAGGCAGAACTGCTCTTTTAGTGAAAACTGTGAAAAATGTTCAGTGTCAAATTTCCTAAAGGCTGGCTCAACATCCTGGATAACATTTTAAATCCACAGGACAATGAAGGTCCAGCTTACAGTTGTTGCCCCTTGATCAGAACATATCACTGGCATATTCAGCAAAATATTTTCATTTCCATGTATATTCATTCCTCCATCTGTGAATAGTGGAACTAGCTTCCAATATAAAGATTGAAGACTGAGCTGTCATAGTGTGGTTACTTGCTAATTTGCATTAATTCACCCATTAAAAAAGTTCTGTTTGCTAGTTTGAAACTTTTTGTCTTGATCACACAGATTGTCCTGGTGTCAGTCCAGTTTAAGTAATTAGATACAAATCTATAGCATAGATAGTGTTACTTTTGAAGTAATTTAGATGTTTTTAATATTTTGGGAGAGGAAAAAGAATAAGCGATTTTTTTCAGTCATAAATGTTTGATAGCATTGGCTCTGCCCCTATTCTTCATACACTTAAAACTTCTATTATAAATCTTTAATAATTAGTATTAGGTTTGGGAATTTTTAAAATTCTATCTTCCATTAGATTATTGATGGTTAAAACACTGCTGAAGTTTTGCCAATAATTTATGGAATTATATTAATTTTGAGGCACATTGAACACTTTTCTTCCTTATTTCCATCTTACTGTACAGGCGTGTAGAATTATAAGGTGAACCTTTTAAACATTCATTTTGGCAAAGGTTAAATTTAACAGAAGAAGCTCTGATACATTCATTTAAAATATTCCAAAGTCAGGAACTCCAGAATCTTGATAATTAGACAGTACAATCTTATATTTCTGTTTTACCATGCCTCACTTTCTCCTTTCCTTAGTGGCTATAAAAACAATTGGATTCTTTTAACCAGCTATCACTCTGCTTAATGCAGTGTTTTCCTCCCCCCAGTTACCTGAAATGGTTCCAGAAAGAAAAAAAATCATTCCTTGTGTACTATAGATTCTGTAGATGAACCATGTCTAAATCTATATCCTAGGGCTAACTGTGCCAACAGGCAATTTGTTAAACCAAAGCATCACCACAAACACACATACCTGTTTTGGAAGCAGATATACAAGATTGGCTAATAAAGCTGTTAATTTAACTCATTTATCTTGAATTAACTTCAATATTTATATTATTTTCACTTAGGTCAGTTAGGTAGCATTCCCTTAAAACCAGTTCGTGTATGTGTGTGTGCGTGTGCGCGCACGCATGTGTATGCATGCTACAGTGTGTTTGTGGAATTAGACATGCATGCTGTTGGATCCAGACTCCATGAGCAGAAGTTCATTTGCACAACAGACCTCCTTCCCCATCACAGTGCCCTCCTGCATTCTGTTTCTGAATCCCCCCACCCAGTCATCCACAGCAGATTTGCAGGGGACACAGGGGGAAGAGGAAATACGTTTCACCAGTGGTTCCATTTCAGAGGCAGAACACCACTACTGGATACAACCTTATGGAAACAGATATATCTACCATTATGATCCTATTCTACACAACAAACTGAAAACTGGTTTAATATCTTTTCCCTCTTCCTGGGTCATTTTACTTTAGTTTTACTATAGTACCTTCACTTTAATTCTGTGAAGGACTTACCAAACTACAATTTCCAGGATTCTTTGGGGGAAGTCATGTCAGTTCAGGTAATATAGCCAGTGTGGTGTAGTGGTTAAGAGCATGGGACTGGGACTCAGACGATGTGGGTTCTAGTCTCCGCTCAGCCATGGAGCCAACTGGGTGACTTTGGGCCAGTCACAGACTCTCAGCCCAACCTACCTCACAGGGTTGTTGTTGTGGGGATAAGATGGAGGAGGAGATGTAAGCTGCCTTGAGCCCTTTGTAGGAAAAAGGCAGGATATAAATCAAAATAATAAATAATATAAAGCCAATTTAAGTTTATATTGTAGATGGACTCTGCAGGTTAGGTGCTGGAGGGCTGAGGGAAAGGAACAAATAATATAGGACAAGTTGGAAAGGATGTGAATGCAAGTTAAGTGGAGGATAGCACTGAATTTGATTTAATTAATGTATTTAGTAAGATATGTAGACCCCATTTTACTTTCATAAAGGAAATCCAAGACAGCTAACAATAGTTAAAACAAATGTGAGTGCATGTAAAATAAGTAACAAGCTGAAGTGTGTATCAGCAGCAGAGTCCTTAACTAGCAATCAAGTTATATGGTTTCTTTCAATATCCTGGAATATAAACAATGATGGAGCCAGCCAGACCTCACTATGGAGAGCATACTACAATAAGGGTGCCTGAAAGGATCAAGGACCCACACATCAAACTTCAGGCAGGAGGAGGATATGGAGGTGGTATTCAATGTTGATCTGAATGTATAGAGAGAGTGGTTCTTCAGAATGCTGCTGTTTTTTATAATCCCAATTCATATATTTGTGGATCCTATTAAATTTTGTAGGCTTCAGTGCAGAGCCTCTGGGAACTATTATGTCCCAAACATCATCTTTTGCATCTCTAAGGCCTCTGTCAAGTTTTTAAAATATTTTTTTTATCAGATATGCACAAGCACTTCAAAGTGAAGTGTTCCCCCTTATCTGCATGCCACCTTTATTTTCTCAGAACTTCCTTCTATGAAATTGATCTTTTGTGACCGGTCATGTCCACCATGGCAGCTGCTTTGTGAAGGAACATCCCTCTCCCCTTGGACGCCATTTTAGGATGGCATCTATAACTACCACTTTCTTAGTTTTCCAAATGTGTCTTCTGGCCAAAAGTGTTGAAGACTCTTGATATACAAGTAAAATTTTAATCATCTCACCTTGCAGGTTTATAGTAAGTCAGAATAGACAAGTGGGGCCGCCAAAAATATTGCAGTGTGGAGTGCAGGGTTTCAGACAAGTAGCTGTGCATTTTTTCAAGATATTCTGTTCCATTTTCATTCATCCCCTCTTTTGTTTTTCCATTGTCTCTTCAACAGTAAGATGGCATTCCTTGTCCATTGTGCACATTGGGACCCCATTAGGCTGTTTTTGACACACATACTTTTTAGGAATTTTTTGGTAAAGACATTTTTCAACTTCTGCAAACTTTGAGGTTTCTGCTGGCCTGTTGATATCTCATTCTTGTGTATGGATGAGACTGTTTGGCTACATAAAGATCCTTACTTGGAGAATGAGTGAACAAGTTGCTTATAGCAGGGATGGGCAGATCTCAGACTACATGTTCTCTTTTATACTAAAATCCTTCACTAGAAAGTAAAACACACTGGACTCACTGGGACTTCATTATGAATTGAAGTGTTAAGGATTGTACTGGAACAGAGGAAGAATAACTTTTTTTCCCTTTCCTTCAGGAACTCCTGAATTCATGGCTCCTGAGATGTATGAAGAACATTATGATGAGTCTGTAGATGTCTATGCTTTTGGAATGTGCATGCTGGAGATGGCAACTTCTGAATACCCTTACTCTGAATGCCAGAATGCAGCGCAAATCTACAGAAAAGTAACCAGTGTAGGTGTAAATTTAACTTGTTCATTAGAGTAAACATGTACATTGGCAGCTTAAGACAGCTGAGCTTATTAGTTAGAATTAATGTTGGTTGTGTTGCCCTACAAAGCAGCTGCTAAACTTAGTCTGGACACTTTTCTTCAGATTTTACTGAGGTTTTTCAGAACAGTCAAACTTTTCAGATGTTTGTTGTTGTTGTTGTTAGTCGCGAAGTCGTGTCGGACCCATCGTGACCCAATAGTCAACATTCCTCCAGGCCTTCCTGTCCTCCACCATCCCCCAGAGTCCACTTAAACTCACACCAACTGCTTCAGTGACTCCATCTAGCCACCTCATCCTCTGCCATCCCCTTCTTCTTTTGCCATCTATTGTTCCCAGCATTAGGCTCTTCTCCAGGGAGTCCTTCCTTCTCATTTGGTGGCCAAAGTATTTGAGTTTCGTCTTTACTATCTGGCCTTCTAAAGAGCAGTCAGGGTTGTTCTCTTGAACTGACCAGTTTGATCTCCTTGAAGTCCAAGGGACTCGCAGGAGTCTCCTCCAGCACCACAATTCAAAGGCCTCAATTCTTCGGCGCTCAGCCTTCCTTATGGTCCAGCTTTCACAGCCATACATTGCAACTGGGAAAGCCATAGCCTTGACTATACGCACTTTTGTTGGCAGGGTGATGACTCTGCTTTTTAGTATGCTGTCTAGATTTGCCATAGCTTTCCTCCCCAGGAGCAAGTGTCTTTTAATTTCTTGGTTGCAGTCCCCGTCTGCAGTGATCTTGGAGCCCAGAAAAATAAAACTGTCACTACCTCCATTTCTTTCCCATCTATTTGCCAGGAAGTGAAAGGACCGGACGCCATGATCTTAGTTTTCTTAATGTTGAGTTTCAAGCCAACTTTTGCGCTCTCCTCCTTCACCCGCGTCAAGAGGCTCTTTAGTTCCTCTTCACTTTCTGCCATTAGAGTGGTATCATCTGCATATCTCAGGTTGTTGATATTTCTCCCAGCAATCTTAATTCCAACTGGTGATTCATCTAGCCCCACCTTTCTCATGATGTGCTCTGCATATAAGTTAAATAGGCAGGACGACAGTATACAACCTTGCCGAACTCCTTTCTCAATTTTGAACCAATCAGTGGTTCCGTGTCCAGTTCTCACTGTTGCTTCTTGACCCGCATATAGGTTTCTCAAGAGACAAATAAGATGGTCAGGTACTCCCATCTCTTTAAGAACTTGCCACAATTTGTTGTGATCCACACAATCAAAGGCTTTAGCATAGTCAATGAAGCAGAAGTAGATGTTTTTCTGGAACTCCCTAGCTTTCTCCATGATTCAGCGTATGTTGGCAATTTGATCTCTAGTTCCTCTCCCTCTTCGAAATCCTACCTGTACTTCTGGTAGTTCTTGGTCCACATACTGCTGGATCCTAGCTTGTAGGATTTTGAGCATCACTTTGCTAGCATGTGAAATGAGTGCAATGGTGCGGTAGTTTGAACATTCTTTGGCATTGCCCTCCTTTGGGATTGGAATGTAAACTGACCTTTTCCAATCCTGTGGCCACTGTTGAGTTTTCCAAATTTGCTGGCATATTGAGTGTAGCACTTTTACTGCATCGTCTTTTAGAATTTTCAATAGTTCAGCTGGAATACTGTCACCTCCACTAGCTTTGTTGTTGCTCAGACTTCCTAAGGCCCATTGGACTTCACATTCCAGGACGTCTGGCTCGAGGTCAGTGACCACCCCATCATGGTTATCAGGGATGTTAAGCTCTTTCTTGTATAGTTCTGTGTAATCTTGCCACCTCTTCTTAATCTCTTCTGCCTCTGTTAGGTCCCTGCCATTTTGGTCCTTTACCATGCCCACCTTTGCATGAAACGTTCCCTTCATATCTCCAATTTTCTTGAAGAGATCTCTGGTCCTCCCTATTCTATTGTTTTCTTCTATTTCTTTGCACTGTTCATTTAAGAAGGCATTCTTATCTCTTCTAGCTATTCTCTGGAATTTTCCATTCAATTGGGTGTATCTTTCCCTTTCTCCCTTGCCTGTCATTTCCCTTCTTTTCTCAGCTATTTGTAAAGCTTCCTCAGACAGCCATTTTGCTTTCTTGCGTTTCTTTTTCTTTGGGATGGTTTTAGTTGCTACCTCTTGTACAATGTTGCGAACCTCCATCCATAGTTCTTCAGGCATTCTGTCTATCAGATCTAATTCCTTAAATCTATTTATCACCTCTACTGTATATTCATCAGGGATATGATTTAGGTCATGCCTGAGTGGCCAACTACCTTTCCCTGCTTTCTTCAATGTAAGCCTAAATTTTGCAGCGAGAAGCTCATGATCTGAGCCACAGTCAGCTCCTGGTCTAGTTTTTACTGACGTTATAGAGCTTCTCCATCTTTGGCTGCAGAGCACATAGTCAATCTGATTCCTGTGTTGACTGTCTGGTGATGTCCATGTGTAGAGTCGTCTCTTGGGTTGTTGGAAAAGAGTGTTTGCTATGACCAGCATGTTCCCTTGACAAAATTCTGCCAGCCTATGTCCTGCATCATTTTGTACTCCAAGGCCCAACTTGCCTGATATTCCAGTTATCTTTTGGCTTCCTACTTTAGTATTCCAATCCCCCATGATGATAAGGACATCATTTTTGGTGTTAATTCTAGAAGGTGTTGTAGGCCTTCATAGAACCAGTCAACTTCAGCCTCTTCAGCATCAATGGTTGGGGCATAGACTTGGACTATTGTGATGTTGAATGGCTTGGATTCGAACTGAGATCATCCTCTCATTTTGGAGATTGCATGCCAGTACTGCTTTTCCTACTCTTTTATTGACTATGAAGGCTACTCCATTTCTTCTGAGGGATTCTTGCCCACAGTAGTATACCTAATGGTCATCTGAATTAAATTCACCCATTCCTGTCCATTTTAGTTCACTGATTCCTAAGTGAAGGTGAGTCTTGTCATCTGTTGTTTGACCACATCCAGCATGCCTTGATTCATGGATCTTACATTCCAGGTTCCTATGGAGTATAGATCTTTGCAGCATCAGACTTTCCTTTCACCACCAGATACATCTGCAACTGAGTGTCCTTTCGGCTTTGACCCATTCGCTTCATTCTTTCTGGCGCTACTAGTACTAGCCCTCCGTTCTTCGTCGTGGCCTTTGGCCGGAAGATTGACAGCTAACGGTTTTGGCAGGAAGCTCCGCTCCCCTCCCCCATGGCCTATAAAGAGCAGAGCGTCCGCCATTTGTTCAGTCTTTGCGACTGCCGTTCGCTGTGCCTCGTGCCGCTTTCTACTTTCGCTTTGGCTATTCTTGATTCTCTCCTTATATGTTGCCCTTAAACTACTTTCCCCTTTCTTCGTTTCCCGTTTCTGTGTTGTTTTCTCTTATTTCTTCTTCGATCTAAAAAAAACAAAAAAACAAAAAAAACAAAAGTATATACTTACCCTCTGCACTATCTCTCTTTTTCTCCTTTCTTCTGCGATGGCGCAGTGGGCGGCTTTCCGCAAATGTGCGGACTGCGGGTCAAAAATGGCACCTACTGATCCGCACGACCTATGCCTCCTCTGCCTTGGAGAGGGGCATAGGACGGATAAGTGCGTTCATTGCCTAGCCTTCTCTAAGCAGGCTAGGAAGAACCGTGAGAATCGGCTTCGGAGGCTCCTTTCGCATAGGGCCCTGATGCAATCAGACACGCTCATCTCTATCCCAAAACTTGGCTCCGCTTCTGTGGCTCCACCCTCACGCCCTTCGGATGAAGGTGCGTCCGCTTCGCTGGCCCCCTCTGCCTCGCCAAAAAAGAGGCATGAGAAGCGCAAACATGCCGAAGAGAAGCCGGCAGGCCATAAGAAGGCCAGAAAGGAAAAGGCCTCTAAGCCTCCAAAGAAGGCTAAGTCTACGGACCATTCCCAAAATCGGGACTCGGAGCCGATGGGCCCTTCGGTACCGGTGGCGGTTACGATACTGACCCCGCCCCAACCGATCCTTCAAGAGGCCATGTGGGTCACCCCTTGGGGTCTCCCCGACGTGCGGTTGACCTCCCGCCAGCACCCCTTCCAACTCTACGGGGGTCTATCTCGGATGGGGAAATCCAGGACTCCCCTCCTAGAGCGAGGTCACCGACACCGATGCCCATGGTGACATTGGAGACAGAAGCTGGCCTGTCCCCACCAGGGAATCGGAGGAGCCGCTCGGTAGAGCAACGCCCGGAGAGTTGGCGTCGTCCCTACTACCAACCTTGGGGAGACCCGCTCTCTGTGGGGTACTACCCTGCTCCCAGAGCGCGATCCTCACCTCCACTGCGGTCTGTGGATTCGAGGAGGGTGCCGCCTCGATCCCCACAAAGCGGAAGCAGCCGCTCCTTATCACCGGCGGAGTCATCATCTTCTGCCCCGCCATACTATGGTGCTGATTCGGATGACTCTGATGTAGATTCAACCTCCCCGGACGTCGTGGTGACATCCCAGGATCCTGCGTCACCCGATGAGTCACATGTCTCCTTCGCGGAGCTGATGTCAAGGCTTGTCCAGTCCCTGGACATCGACGCTGCCCAGCGCCTGGGACCGTTGACGGACAAGTTTTACGACATCGTCCGCGGGGAGCAATCGACCTCTATCGTTCTGCCACTTATAACTACCCTGCGGCAGGCAATGATGCAGCCCTGGGACCTACCTTCACATCCTCAGCCGACGTCCAGGAGATATGAATCTATGTACAGGGTCAGGGAAGAAGACATCCCCTTCCTGCTAAAGCACCCGAAACCAAACTCGGCGGTGGTCAAATCCTCGCAAGGCAGAGAGGTGAGGGGATATACGGCGCCGAGGGATAAGGAGGGCCGGAAAATAGATTCCCTGGCCAGGCGGGTCTATGCTGCCTTGGGCTTAGGACTTCGCATTTCTAACTACGAGGCAACGTTGGCGCGATATCAATATTTTATTATGCAGCGCCTCCACAACGTTGCCTCCACACTTCCAGACCACCAGGGTGACCTTGCGAAGGTCCTGATCAAAGAAGCCATGC